GTCTCTAGCTCCACCCTGACTACCTGATCCATCCGCTCCGCCCTTGTCTCCAGCTTCAATCTGGTCTCCAGCTCCACCCTGACTACCTGATCCATCCACTCCGCCCTTGTCTCCAGCTTCAATCTGGTCTCCAGCTCCACCCTGACTACCTGATCCATCCGCTCCGCCCTTGTCTCCAGCTTCACTCTGGTCTCCGGCTCCACCCTAACTACCTGATACATCCGCTCTGCCCTTGTCTCTAGCTCCACCCTGACTACCTGATCCATCCGCTCCACCCTTGTCTCCAGCTTCAATCTGGTCTCCAGCTCCACCCTGACTACCTGATCCATCCACTCCGCCCGTGTCTCCAGGGACCCATCCACTCCGCCCTTGGCTCCAGCTTCAATCTGGTCTCCAGCTCCACCCTGACTACCTGATCCATCCGCTCCGCCCTTGTCTCCCAGCTTCACTCTGGCCTCCAGCCCCGCCCTGGCCGCTTGATCCGCCGGCTCTGCCCTGGTCTCATGCTCCATCACAGCCTCCAGGCCCTCTTTCTTCCACACCATGTGCCTACCATCCCTCTCCTGTTCCGCCTCTGCTCCACCACCCTCCTGGACTTTTGTTTTGTGTTTCTTCTTTTGGAGAATCTGGAAGCCGCTCCTTAGAAAACAAAGGCAGGGATTGTGACATAGCCCCCCTCCTGTGTCTGTGTCTTGGACTCTTAGTTTGTAGTTCTGTGTCTTCCTTGTTTTATTTCCCTGCAGCTCTGTTCCCTTGTTTGTTGCCAAGGACACTCATTGGACCACATCCATCTGCTTGTTAGTTCCCTTGGTTACTCATTAGTTCAGCTCTGTATATACAGCCCAAGTGTTTCTCTTGTGCTTTGTTTGTCATTTGTCTTACTTGCCTATGTTCTTTGTCTTGTTTTCCGCATTTCTCTGTTGTTTTCACATTAAACATGCTGCACCTAGATCCTCACCTCTCCTCATCCTTCCCTGTTTGTGACGCTTCTATAGGGGTAAGAAAAAATCATGTGAACACCTGGGAAATAGGCAATATTTCATTATTAAGACATTTTACCACCATTTCCCTTTAAAACAGCTTCCAACCTGAAGGCGTTTGATACAGATACTTTTGAATAGTCTCCGGTTGAATGTTGTCTCTCAGAACATCTGCCAGTTGCTTCAGAAATGTTGAAGGAGGGAATCTGCTTCTCGCTCTTTTTCCCCAAAACTCCCTACAGTAGTTTGATAATATTCAAGTCAGGTGATTTGCCTGATCAGGGCATATGTTAAAGTTCGTCTTGGTGCTCCAACTGTCCAGGTTTTATGATTATGACACCATCTTTTAGGGATTTTAGCACTGGTGTCCGTGATAACATTTTAGAAGTTGCAGCTCTTTCATGGATGCTGGCTTTGTGAAGTTCTCTGTGGTCAGTTTTTGTGGAAACAGGGCCTTTAAAGTGAATATTGAGGTTAGCTGTCACTTTGCTACAGTAGCTCTGTGGACACAATCCTTCTCAGTGTTCAATTAGCCCTATCATTAACTTTCAATATTCAACCACATTTCCTCTTCTCTTATAAAGTCTTGCCATTCTTTGCATACAGAGTCATAATCGTAAAAACTGTTGTTCTTAAAATACCAGTTAAAATAGCAGTCGGGCTGTTAAAGTTACCGATGCTCCTGTAGCCTGCACACATTATATTAACCCTCATAATAACGGGTGTTCACATCATTTTGTCCAACCCCTGTATCTTCCTATTTATCCTGATGTGAAAATTCATCAAGATTGAAGATTCATTCATTCATAATTTCTTAACTGCTGACTTTTACGTTCCAGTCTAAAGGTGTGGTTACATTTACCGTTGTTCTGGGAATTTTCCAGTCATTTAAATAGGAATCCATACGATCAGGAACTTTGCATGAGGGCGAAATATTTCCCTATGCAGATTTCACAAGTGGTTCAAGGTGGTCACGCATATTCGCTGCACTGACCAACAGAAAGCTGCTTGGGTTGAAAGTGACTTCTGTGTGAGACAAAAGACAATGGACCTTTTTCATCCGCGAACGTTCGCTAATGTGATTGCACCTTAAATGTAAACCCTTGTCCTCTCTGTAGCAACTCCCAAACATTTTCTCCATTCGATTTTATTTAGGATGCAGTACCACACATTTGCCTTCCCTTTGTCCCCCACAAGAGCATTTTGTTTCAGAAATACACACAATAGTTCTCTAACTGCCCACGTCAAGGGAAAGAGAATCACAATAACATTCTCTGGCTGGACTCCCTGAACAGATTATGAGTTACATACAATAAAGACAATGTAGCACCAATTATAAGAATTTCATTTTTGGTATCTCGTTTGATCTTCAAACAATGAGAGGAGAGAAATTGACATTATTTTTCTAAACAAATCGCACGAGGTTCTATGAGAATACAGATTCATTACATCCAAGGTGGGACTTCAGATAAATGGCAAACTCATCCTTCTAGGTGGAGCTCTCCCCTGAGGATATAGACGTGTGTTCATACAGTCAAGCGATATTGGAAAGACCTTGTTCGCAGCTGCTTTGGTTACCACCACCCTATTGCCCTTTCCACCCAATTTCACTGTCACCCGATATCCTATTCTCTGACAAACCGTTTTGCCAAATGAAAGAGTCTATAGATATTTGATTTCCCCTTGGAGAGCAGCTCACTGTGTGTGAATCACAGGCAAGGTCTTATGATAGCTTCAAACAAGAGAAGGCGATCACAGATATTCAGAGCTTTTGGGTCAGCGAATAGTTAGTGTACAAACAAGACCATAAAACAAAAGGGACAGATGTGGTTACACTATAAAAGCAAAGACAATATCACAGCTAAGTTATTGTGGGTGGAAGTTAGTGGAATTTAGCTGCTCAGGATTAAGCTTTCGATGCTCAGGGTAAGTTTTTATGCCGTCCGTTTATGCTTTGGGTAGAAAAAGTAATATATTATGTTATCATATATTTAAAAAAATAATAATAATAACGTTTTTGAAGTCTTTTATGCATAAGAGGTTTCTTACGCTTCCCAAGACTGTATTTATTTGATCAAAAATAAAGTAAAAACAGTAATATTGTGAAGTATTATTACAATTTAAAATGTCTGCTTTCTATTTGAATATATTTTAAAATGTAATTTATTCCCGTGATGTAAAGCTGAATTTTCAGCATCATTACTCCAGTCTTCAGTGTCTTTCAGAAAATCATTCTATGTTGATTTGCTGCTCAAGAAAAAAATGTTTTTCAGCTGTTTGCAAACAGTTGCACTGCTTCATATTTTTGTGGAAAGCTTACTTTCTGTGCGTTGTATGTTATTTATTTTTTTACATTATTTCTCAGGATTCTTTGATGAACACATTTATTTGAATATATATATATCATATTAACAATTTTAGACATTTTGAAATGACAGTGATTAATGACAATGCCTATTTTTTGCATTTGTTTTTCTTTGAAAGAGAGTTTTATTAATGATTAAAAATACTAATAATCTAAAAAATAAATAAACCATCTAAAATAAACCTTTTCGATTTTAACTTTGGTTACACTTTATTTCGATAGTCCACTTTAGACATTCTATTAACTATAAGTAACTTTGTAACTACATGTCAACTACATGTCAACTAATTCTCATTAATTTGCAACTACATGTCTACTAACTCTCAGAGTAGACTGTTAGGGTAGGTTTAGGGTTAGTAGAATGTTGACAAAGAAAGTGTTAGAAGATAGTCTTAAGTGTTAAGCAGACAGTCTACTAATACTCTACTAACTGCTAGTTGACATGTAGTTGCAAAGTTACTTACTGTTAATAGAATATCTGAAGTGGACTTTCGAAATAAAGTGTTACCTTAACTTTTAATCCAGTAGAGTAACCTCTTGTTGAAAAGCAATGATACATGCATTATGTAAAATGTGCTGTTTTGTCTTTACCACAGCTGTTTGTATTCGTTTCTCGACCTCTAAACCTCCTCTGTGTTTTAGACCCCTCAAACATGAAGAAATGCCTTGAATACACCTTGCTCCTCATAATCTCTTCGCTTCACGGTAAAGCACTGCATTACCTGAGTAACTCAGAGCGGCGCCATCTAAAAAATAATGCAGATGTAACAGGAAGTCGCTTTCTGTGCATACATTGAAATCTGTTGGTGAGCACAAGCGGCTAGTGTTTTATGTTTATCTAGCACATACGAGGCCTCGCTTTATCATTCACAGGCTCACTGCAGCAGAGAATCATTGGAGGACAGGAGGTTGAGCCCTACTCCATAAAGTACCAGGCCTCTATCCAGTACAACAACTACCATTACTGCGGAGGAACGCTCATACACCGACAGTGGGTGGTTACTGCCGCCCACTGCTGGAGACCGTGAGTATTTCAGTCCGAACTCACCTTTATTGACAAGGAACTGAACACACCAAGCATGCTAGAGTATTTGAGGTAGGCCAAATCTTTACTCTGACTGTACTGATGTGGTAATGTTGGGTTCTGCTGTCTACTCTGTTCGCAGGAGCTATTTAATCAAAGTGGTTTTGAGTGAGCACAATCTCTCCAATAAAGAGGGTGTTGAGCAGGTGTTCAATGTGTCCAGAGTTCTGGTGTATTACATGTACAGTTACAGTTGCTACAAATATACCCCAGCGACTTAAGACTGCTTTTGTGCTCCAGGGTCACATAAATGGTAACAGCATGTAACAAACTGAACTACTATTTCCTTTCTAGTAAAACATCATTTTTATTATTATTGGAGTATGTTTTACTAGAAAGAAAATATTATTTCAGTAATATAGAAATGAAAATAAAAATTTTTCATAAAATGGCCATAAATAAAGGAAATAAATTATTTATTTTCCCAGTTTGTTATATGCATATATATGATAATATCAATTAACAAACTGAAAAAAAAATGTTAATGGAAAAAAATAGAGTGAAAAATCATATTGTGAAATATTATTACCATTCATTACAGTTTTTTTTTTTATTGTAATATATTTCACATGTCTACTAACTCTCAGAGTAGACTGTTAGGGTAGGTTTAGGGTTAGTAGAATGTTGACAAAGAAAGTGTTAGAAGATATTAAGCAGACAGTCTACTAATACTCTACTAACTGCTAGTTGACATGTAGTTGCAAAGTTACTTATTGTTAATAGAATGTCTAAAGTGGACTATCGAAATAAAGTGTTACCTTAACTTTTAATCCAGCAGAGTAACCTCTTGTTGAAAAGCAATGATACATGCATTATGTAAAATGTGCTGTTTTGTCTTTACCACAGCTGTTTGTATTCGTTTCTCGACCTCTAAACCTCCTCTGTGTTTTAGACCCCTCAAACATGAAGAAATGCCTTGAATACACCTTGCTCCTCATCATCTCTTCGCTTCACGGTAAAGCACTGCATTACCTGAGTAACTCACGGCGGCGCCATCTAAAAAATAATGCAGATGTAACAGGAAGTTGCTTTCTGTGCATACATTATTGAAATCTGTTGGTGAGCACAAGCGGCTAGTGTTTTATGTTTATCTAGCACATACGAGGCCTCGCTTTATCATTCACAGGCTCACTGCAGCAGAGAATCATTGGAGGACAGGAGGTTGAGCCCTACTCCATAAAGTACCAGGCCTCTATCCAGTACAACAACTACCATTACTGCGGAGGAACGCTCATACACCGACAGTGGGTGGTTACTGCCGCCCACTGCTGGAGACCGTGAGTATTTCAGTCCGAACTCACCTTTATTGACAAGGAACTGAACACACCAAGCATGCTAGAGTATTTGAGGTAGGCCAAATCTTTACTCTGACTGTACTGATGTGGTAATGTTGGGTTCTGCTGTCTACTCTGTTCACAGGAGCTATTTAATCAAAGTGGTTTTGAGTGAGCACAATCTCTCCAATAAAGAGGGTGTTGAGCAGGTGTTCATAATTTTGACCCATACAATGTATTTTTGGCTATTGCTACAAATATACCCCAGCGACTTAAGACTGCTTTTGTGCTCCAGGGTCACATAAATGGTAACAGCATGTAACAAACTGAACTACTATTTCCTTTCTAGTAAAACATCATTTTTATTATTATTGGAGTATGTTTTACTAGAAAGAAAATATTATTTCAGTAATATAGAAATGAAAATAAAAATTTTTCATAAAATGGCCATAAATAAAGGAAATAAATTATTTATTTTCCCAGTTTGTTATATGCATATATATGATAATATCAATTAACAAACTGAAAAAAAAATGTTAATGGAAAAAAATAGAGTGAAAAATCATATTGTGAAATATTATTACCATTCATTACAGTTTTTTTTTTTATTGTAATATATTTCACAATATTTTTGGTTTTAATTTATTCTACTGTAATATATTTTAAAATGCAATTTACTCCTGTACTATATTTTAAAATGTGTAATGTAAAATATTTTACAATTTTATTCCTGTGATCAAAGCTGTATTTTCAGCATCATTACTCCAGTCTACAGTGTCACGATTCTTTAGAAATCAATCTAATATGCTGATTTGCTGCTCAAGAAACATTTCTGATTATTATCAAAGTTGAATTATCAATAATATATAATATTATCAACAGTTAAAAACGCAATTGATAATATTTTTCATTTCCATTCATTGCTGGATTTGTGCGTTAGCTGGAAAAGCCTGCAGAGCTCAATGCCAACATTCAGCCGGGTTAAGATTATTTTTCTTGCCCCATTGGCAGATTTTTTTATTTTATTTATTTTTTATCAAAAACTGAAATTGATACATTTTTCAGCAAACAAGACTTAATATCTTAAGTCATTTTGCTTCCTAAGTAGCTGTATTTTTATTGAAGAATGTTTAGATATTTGTACTAGAATTTGTGGTTAAATTGATGCTTGTCCCGGGCGTAAAATCAAATTCCAACAAACTTTAATGGTCATCTTGATTTAAAACCATTTTATTCCATTTTTTTGTATTTCAAGGCAGAAGATTACAAAATAATAAATCAAATATTTTCCCAGCTTATTACTGCTGTTGGCCTATTTATCTCCAGCTGTCTTTTGTGAAAAGGAAATGCTTTTTCATCATTAATCCATTGGGATTGTCACTGTAATATAGTCAGTCACCTTTATACCTCATCCTCCTCACTGTCTCTCAGTGTGGCTAAGGGAAAGGTTGCTGTGTCGACTCTGACTGGAAATTACATAACCTTGCAGCATGACAGAATCACACACATCAAACACAGAACGTCAGGGAGGTGGGAGATCTGGGAAAAGGGGATTGGATGCCGGATCTGGAAAAACAAAGTCACAGGCAAGTCTGTTGAGCCACAGAAACACAATACACACACGGCACAGCAACATGGGAGATCAAAAGATGAGACGTGAGCTTAATGGGTTGAATGAACAATTCTCTGGAACGAAAGATTTGATTCGGAAATCCCTCGAGGCCAGGAAATTTGCATACTGCCCCTACAGCAAGTTCCGAGTCAGGGCGGCACTTCTGACACACAACAGGACGGTTTTCACAGGTGAGACAATGCCTGAAATGCACTGTAAAGGTACCAATATCAGAGAGTTTAAGCAGTCAGTTCCCAGTGCTGGTTGGGTAAGAAACATCAACTGCTGTAACGAGCGTTTATGCACTCAGAACTGAATGATGAATAATGTATGAAGGCTGAACTCTAATGTGTACTCAATTTGTTGCCACTCTGAGAGCAAAGATGTTGGCAAATTCACATAAAGGCTTGTTAAACCACTACATGGCAACAGAAGGAAGACTAATAGCAGGTAACACCTCTGACACGTAAATGAGACTCAACACACACACTTTATGAGTGCTTATTTCACGGCTCTCGAATCTCGTGAAATTCTGTGGTCAAATATTGCCTGATCTTTGCCGTCTTTATTGGCAATGCTGTATTTCAATCCACTCATCCGGGTAACTGAAACCGGTGCTATTTTCACATCTCTAGTATGACACTGACTGCAGATTCTCCCTCTCTTTTCATTCAAACATCTTGCACCTCAACTATCGACTGTAGTAAAAATGCGCTCAGATGACTTCAACGTTAATTGGCCATTACTAAAATATTGTTGCAATGTTCATCTTGTTGCTAGACCAATTGTTTTGTATATTTTAATGAATTATTTTCTCTTAGTGGAAGCTTTAAGATAATATACAAGTAAAATTATACTTAATGTCATGTCTACGTCTGGGGTTCTGATGATTTTTTTGTGACAATATGGAGCCCCTAAAGTAGGTAGTAAAGGGACATAGAGATGAGAAAAAAATGAGATGAAAGGAAAAATTTAATTTAAAATGCTTTTGAAACTTTTACTAGAGAACGCAAAAGCTTTACAATCCCCTGAGAAACTTTGAGTTTGCTCTTAAAATCTTTAGTAATGTAAACAATAAGAGGTGGATGAAAAAAACAATTTTTGATTGTGAGCAAATGCAAAGTTTCCCAGGGGAACACAAAACTTTTGCATTCGCTCTCTCTCTCTCTCTCCATTTGCAAATATATATTTTAAAACATACAACACACACACACACACACACACACACATATATATATACATTTGTTTTGTAAATATATTAATATAAAAAAAAATTCTACCAATTTATGTTTTGGCCATGTTTTTTTGGCGGCGTTATGCAAATCTTCCCACACAGTGAAGTAGACACGTGGGGGCGTGTTAGAATGAGGCGTTTTAGGAGGTCTTAACTTTTATAAAGAATATCTCTTTGGGTTTGAGACGTTAGTCTTTGCAACTTTAGGGATCTTGTCTATTCACGAACAGCTTGTAACACTCCAAAGAGAAAGGAAAACTTGAAATCGCATCATATGACCCCTTTAAAACCTAAAAGTGTTCTTGCCTTATAGGATGACTTTGATGCAGCCTACTTTTTTGATCCACTTCAAATGTTGACTACTGTTTTTTGTCACTTTTAAAATACACTTTTTTTGGCTTAAGGGATAATTTATTAAAATGCACATTATATGTAGCTTATAAACACTGAACAAAACTGGTTTTATGGTATTTAAATGCAATACACAATTTTGTTGGTCTGAACTGGCTAATGCTCTGGTTAACTAACGCTTTGATCCCATTAAGTAATGCAGTTGATTATTGCTCTCTCAGTACAACTGACACAGCCTTGAACTGTGGTGAAACAGCACTTACTGTTGTTTAATGACCATACTGTTAGTGACTGCAGCAACACAACAGTGGCACGAGAGAGGAGGACGTTTTTGTCGTCACAGAAAGTAAATAAAAACTTGGCTCCTGACATGACAGGCCCCTTCCAGACCAGCCAATAGAAATCGGTACAAAACACATGTACAAGATGTACCTTACATAATATTTGTTATGTGTTCACAGTGTGATGTAACATACTTCGGCAAATCTCATTTAAACGTTTTATTATTTCTCTACACCAGGCTGTAATGTAGAAAACGCGTGCTTCAACTTGGGAATCTGTGCTGAGAGAACTGCCATCTCAAAAGCTGTATCAGAGGGCTACCGTGATTTCAAAGCCATTGCTATTGCGAGGTAAATTTCTACTGTATTCACAGGCCCTCTAGTGGTTGAATTACATTTCTAACTACCTCCATATTTGGAAATAATAGACTCTCTTAGTATAATACAGCATCAATGTAATGTCTCCTGCTCTTTTAGCGATATGTGTGAGCACTTCATTTCCCCCTGTGGTGGCTGCAGGCAATTCATGCGAGAGGAAAGTTTAATTTACCACAGTATTTCATATCAATTAAACAAGCAGCATTCTCAGGTCTCATTAAACATGTTATTTTTGTTTTCACCTATACAGTTCGGTGCAAACTGGGATGTGTATTTGTCAAAACCTGACGGTTCCTATGTGGAGATGACTGTCGAAGAACTGCTGCCTGCATCTTTTGGTCCAGAAGACTTAGAAATGAAGAAAGTGAATATTCGGAACGAGTTCTGAAGCACTGACTCTAGAAATACTTTGTACCTGATAGTTTTGGTAGCTTGTAGATAGAAAAAGGTTTGTGTGGATTAATGGCGTTGTTTAATAAAGTTTCTTAAGGAATGTCGTATGTAAATATGTAAATTATGTTAAAAAAAGATTTGAATTGTTATTATTTTTGAATAAAAACAAAGTCAATGCAGTTATAAATATAAGTGAACACATGTCGCTACAGTACAAACTTTATTATTTTTAAACAATGCACATATAAATCAACCACAAAAAAGTGCAACATAAAAATAATGCCATTTTCCTAAAAGAAAATGGCAACTGATGATCTAGAGACATTCTTAACCTTAAGTTTTAGTGATAATTCTAATGCCGTTGGAACCTCTATTTAAATATTACGTTTATTAATCAAAGAATCCTAAGCAAGTCGTCAAAGTGCAAAACATGAAACAAATGACGTTAAAGAAAGTATGGGCTTTAAAGAAAGGCAGCACATGCACAAATGGCAGTAAAATCTAAGTATCTTCTCAAGTCTTCAAAACGTGATTTTTCATGCAGCAAGGTTTAGTAAATTTGTAGTTGGACTTTTTGCATAAAGAGAGAAGGATGATTAAACCTTTTCCACACACACTCTCTTCTTCAAATTTCTATCATCCACATAGTGACTCTAACTGGAAAAAAGGCAGAACGGTAATCTCAATACGAGTTGCTTCTGAAATCTGGCCCGTTGCTTGAATTCACAGGACCCTGGATGATATTATAAAGGTGGACTGTAGCTGCCACCTTCCCAGCAGTGTAAAGACACGATAGCCCTGCCGGAAGCTACACAGAGAGGCTTTATCTGGGCACTGGCATCCATACAGTAATGAAACAACCATACTAACAAAAAGATGGAGTTTTGCCCCTAAAAGCAGCCGACGAGCACATGGTGCTCTAACGAAAACCTCTACTTATCACCAGTGCGTTTTACAGAATAACTTAATATCTTTTAAGTAACCAAGTAATTTGGATCGAAAAGATGTTGAGAATTCAACACTTTTCACATCACTAAAGCACGCCTCCTGCAATGGGCCTGAGGACAAAGAAGAGTCTTATTTCTGTGGCGTTATGGTGTCCAGACCGGGCCAGGCCGGAACATAGTGCCGTGGTAGAGTTCCCTCCATAAGCCTCTCCATCCACAGACCCAGTCGGTCCAGTTTGTGGTGGATCTCCAGAGTGGTGGCCTTCTGTCGGGAACTTGACCGGGACCTCGAGGCTTTGCTTGGACCGGCCATCGCCGCATCCTCGTCGGACCACCTACTACATTCGACTTCCTCCCCTGTGAACACGGGTCTGAATATGCAGAAGTATTTCTTGTGGCCATTGAGCGCCAGGACATGGCCAGTGTAGTCTGATTTGTTGGAGGTGGAGTCTTCCTCTTCGTCCAAGCAGTCTGACGGTCTGGCGTCAGGAGCCGACTCCATGAGGGAATCCATCCATTGGCTGTGCTTGTCCACATTTAAAAAGGAGTAGTGAAGAGTCTGAGACCTGCGGGAGGAAGTAAGGATAGTTTCCTTTGGATTTATTTGTAGCACGATTTAAGTTGAAAGCAAAGATGCTCAATACAGCTTCTGGAGACGTGCTTTCTTTCAGTGTTTAATTCCAGTAATGTAATGCTACTTTCCAGATTTGGAAATAGGAACAAAATGGACATTCGATATTCAAATGATGCTCCATTGTTTTTCCAAGTGGTAGTGAGAGAATAGCAGTTTGAGTTGTCTGGAAAGCACCATGACTGGAAATCAGAACTCTGCAACTTTTTTACTTGTAAACCTTTTACTTGTAAATGACCTCTGGAATGCTCCTCAAGTTCAGACTCCCGACCCCTAGTGTAAAAATAAAGCAATAAGCCCCAAGAAGCTGTGGTTTACAGTGAATTTATAACAGCTAAGGGGCGCTGTGAGGCACGTCGCGGAGTGCCAAAAATCCCCTTAGCTGTTATAAATTCACTGTAAACCACAGCTTCTTGGGGCTTATTGCTTTTATAAAACGGTTATTCCATTCACGTATAAAGGTTTCACAAAATAAAACGAAGCAAATAAAATGTAATGATATTAATAAAACCATTCTTCCGCCAAACAATGTAGTTCCTCAAAAACACACAGATGCAGAAACAAAGAGGTGTATGTTTGTAGAGTAATTTACAACATCTTCGAACGTGGCTCAACCAATCAGAATCAAGGACAGGTACTTCCTGTTTTATAAGCTTTGTTTGACATTCTATTCAAACAAAGTTCCATTGGGTGTTCCCAGTGGAGGTGGAAGAATTCTGGGTTGAGTTGTTTGGAATTAACATTTTTATGTCAGAAGTGGGAAATGTAAATGTCAAAAATTTAGATTTTGTCTGGAATGCATAAATACATTACTAGGGTTTACGGTTGAGGTCTGCAATCAGTATTGTGAGATCTGTTTTGAACAGTTTTGAATTGCTGAGTGCAGGAGATAAGATATCGATGTGTGCGAGGGAAGCGTAAAAAATAAATGACTAGCCGGACTCCTGCAACATATAAATATCTAAAAATATAATAAAAAGTTACTCAAATTTATTTCAGGTTTTAAAGTACAGAATGTTATTTTGTGTTATTTGTCCATTCAGCAACTAATATAAACCATTTACAGGCATTCAATTGCACATTGCAAGGACTTAGGGCTTACGAAAGTAATGCACCTTTTAATTGTGCACATGTTGACCAATTAGAAGTTTGGAATAATGGGTCCCGTTGTGGTTTTTTGAAATCCAAATGATTTCAAATGAACCCAGGCTGCATTTCCTAAAAGCACTGGAAGCCCATGTAGATCATTGAAACCTTTGGTGCCAATGTTCTCTAGGATCTACTGAGATCTACTTACAACTACTATCGCAGATTTGGAAAATGTCTACATAGCATCTTTGACTTTGGTTCAGTTGTCTAAAGCTTCATGGAAGATGATGAATGCTAGCATTGATTTGCATGTGTGCTAAGCTTCAAGTGGCCTTCTAAGTTGGGAAGTTTTGAGTTAAATGGTTGACAGCCTAAACTCTGTAAGAAGGTCTCCAGAAACCGGTTTTAGCATTCTCTCAAACACATACGCAGGCCTCACCCTGAGAACGAATACACTTCTTTGGCAAACTTCCTGAGCAGTACTTGCTTAGAAGCATCAGTGAGGATCAGCACAACGTTGATGTGACCAGGCTTTAACCTGACTAGGTTACTCATGTATGTGATGTCCGTCAGCTCCGTTACCTCCACAAAATTCTTCTTTGGTGGACGACTGTAACAGGAAACCAACTGTTAGCAATTCAGCTAATGAACATCTAAACACATCTGTGATCTCAAAATCTCTATTTGACATGCTGTTATTATATTTTATTCTCAAGCAAGCAGTGTCTTACCTTGAAGTGCTTTCTTGTCCTGGAGAGCTCTCTGCTGTCTTTGGTGGATCAGTGGCCTTTTGTTTGGCTGGTTTGTCTTCCCCAGCATCGCTGTTCGTTCAATCAATCAATCAATCAATAAATCAATAAACAAAAACCTCTCCTTACAAAAGCACTTTTATATAACAAAATCTGTTCTACCTGAAGGCCTGAATGATTACAGTCCCGAACAGAATGAAAAGAGCGGAGAAGATCAGAGACAGTACGGGCATCATCTCGCGCCTGGGGGAAGCAGAACATGACATAACAGGGTGCTCTTAAGTTTGTCATTTATAAAAAGAAATTGTAGGGCTGCTAATCAGTAAATCAAAAAATAAACCTGAAAACAGACATCGACAAATGTCATTATCATTTAGTCTGATATTATTTGTTGTCAATCCCATTTAAAACATTTTTGCACACAATGTACAGCTTTGGCACTTTTTCAGCCTCTTTTATAATCTTTATAGTCTATTGCAGATATTTTAATATTATACAACAGAGCTGCTGAATGCTTTGTCTGTAAACGCACATACATACAGCACAGACACACACACACTCGCAAAAAAATGTTGTCTGATGATTTTATCAGCAGTTTAGCAGCTTGAAAGCTACATGACAATTCTTACTAGCGAGGAGGTAACAACGGCACTGTTCTTGAAGCAGATGAACTTACAGTTTCACTATTAGTAGAGACGCTGCTGCCGAACACAGTTGAGAGACGCACAGACTCAGGTAATTCACACACGCTTTAATATCTCTCACACGCCCTCTCTCTAAGAACTTAATTAATAACTGCATTAGTCTGCTATCAGTGGCTCTAGGTTCCGTTACTATGTCTAAAATTACGTTTTGGAATTAACAACGGAAGCTGCGATTGAGATGCTTCAGAAATTAGTCCTAGATGCAAGAGAGTGTTAAGGGCAAAAACCCGATGAATGTCTTGAAATACAACATCTGAACAAATTTTTGAGGTGTGGTAAGTAACCGTAGTACAAGTGGAATAATTGATTCCAGTCCGTTGAATTATTAGAAAATAATGCACACCCAGGGTGTAACGAACACTCCGCGTTGCGTCTTTGATTTGTTAACATCATGCAGTTCCAGTTCTATTTTAAAAATCTAATTCCAAATTAGAACAGGTCCTATTTTTTTTTTTTAAACTAGTTTTTATAAAGCAGTAGGTGAAAAGTTCTGAAGTGCTCAACTATTGGAGACTTCACTATCCCATAAGGCCAAGGGAGAGGATTTGCGAATGGTAGTGAAGCAACGCAAATCACACTGTAGGCCACATGACACGTACGTCTAAATTTCTTTCTAACTACACAAAACAAGCTGTTTTAATGGTCGAGGTAAGTTTCAAACCAAATGTAGCACTATACAGTTTTCAATTTAAGATGCAGCGACAGCATGACCCAAAAGCCAAGTGCTGCTAATGTTGCTTTAATTTCTGATTGATCACAATAGACCACACGTCCTTTTTCATTCTACGTGTTTCCATAACGGTTTGTTTTAGACTGGTTTTAGTCAGGTAAACAACAAATAGCAATTTCTCAAATCTGTGGAAAAATGTGGCTGGTTTGCAACAGGATCCAGTTTGCCTGGTCGAGCACTGGCCAAGATTTTGCTCTGGCTCTAGAACGCAAACCATTCTGGTGGAAAAGAGCTAAGAAACTGCATGCAAACAGGACCATGAACACTTTGTGATTGTACTCACCAGTTAGAGTAGAGAAGATCAAAGTAAAACT